AAAAAAAAAAAAAAAAAAAAAAAAAAAAAGTCAACACAAATAGAGCTGAAGATATGTGTAATACACAGAGCCTGCAAAAGAAAGAACTCTTAACAATTTAAAAAGGAAGTCAATGGAACACAGGTGAAAGATTTGAACAGACATTTAACCAAGAAAGGATATCTAATGGCCAAATAAGCATATGAAAAGCTGCTGAATTTCATTAGTTATCAAGGAAATGCAAATTAAAACCCAATGTGATACTACAACACTCACCGTGATAACTAAAATGAAAAAGACAATACCAAGGGTTGGCAAAGATGCAGAGGAACTTGGGACTTTCATATTCTGCTATAAGGGGTAAAAAAAAAAAATGTGGTGTAAACGTGGTATAACAACTTTGGTAAGTAACACAACTGGTGGTATCTGCTAAACCTGAGTATACACATATTCTAGGTTCTAGGAATTCTACCCCTAGGAATATACTCAACAGTAATGTACACATATGTTCAACAAATGACAAGCACAAAAAAAGACTCTAATGACCATCAACAGCAGAATGGATAAATGAATTCATATGATGGAATAATACATGGAAATGAGAATTAAATTAACTATGGCTACAGGAAGTACCATGGATGCATCTTACACCAAAGAAAATGCTGAGCAAAGGAGGCCAGTACACACTTTATGATTCCATATACAAATATAATTCAAAACAAGGAAAAACTAATCTGTGATATTAGGATAATGGTTTCTTTGTGGAGAGGGGACAGATGGTAGTAACTATAAGAGGACACAAGGAGGTGCTAGTAATGTGGTGGTTACACAGTGTTATTTTGTGAAAATTTATACAGTTGTACACTTATGATCCGTATACATATACTTTAAGAAACTGTTTACTTAAGGAAAAGAAACAAAACCTATGGGCAAAATAGATTTATTTGTTTACGAAGTCTACAGATGGTACAAAAAGGACAAAGTCAATACATTACATAACAATCATAATTTTAAAGCCAGAAAAATGGGCCAGCATCAACAATTTGAAACTTAGTAAGAATAAATATGAAACAGTGCACCTAAGTTAAAAATTTTTAAAGTACACCTAGGATAAAGGAAACTCTGCTTAAAAGTAGAGAAACAAAACCAACAAGGTTTTAAAAACAAGTTCAGTATAAGCCAACAACATGACACTGCTGCTAAAGCATAAAACTTTTTTTAAATTTAGGGCTATATTAATGAAATTATCAAGCCAAGATAAAGTGAGGTAATAGTTGCACTTTATTGCTCATTAATGACCACAACTCTAATGTCACAATTTAAGAAACACAGTAAATTAAAGAGTATACATAGAGAAAGAAAAACTGAGAGGCACAATCTTGTCAAATGAAAAATGGTTAAAGAACAAAGGATATTCAACCAGGAGAAGAGATGACTTTGAGAGCTTAACACCTGACTGTAAGTAGATAAAGGGCTATCATTTAAAATATAAAATGAATATTTTCTGTACTGCTCCAGCGGAGAGAACTAGAACCAGTAAGTAGCCACTAGAAAGCAGCAGTTTTCAGGTTCAATTCAGGAAAAACTTTCCAATAATTGACAGAGCTTTTCTATGGTGGAATGGACAAAGTATCCAAAGTAGAGGATCACTTATCCTAGATGTCAGAACTTTTTCTTTTATTTTGTGGTTAGACTAAATCAGTGTTTCCCAAACCTAACACATATCAATAAAACTGAAGTTTTTTTAAAATACAAATTCCATAGTTGCCACCACAAGCAACGTAGGTCTGGGAGGGGCCTGGAATCTATAAGAAGCCTCCTGGGTGATTCTCATACACCTAGTAGCCTAGTGGTTCAAGATCCTGTTATTTGAAAACCACATAATTAGATGGCCTTTAAGGTTCCTTCTCAAATTTCTAATGGAAATCATCTTTATATAAACAGCTTGAGGCAAGGTTTACCTTTGTATATCAAAAGCACTCTGTACATCAAATTGAGAATATCTGAAAATACATGTCACTGTAACCAGTCTTTAATTTTTTTCCCCCAAATTTGTAACAAAATGGCTGTGTACTTGAAAATACTATTATTATATAAAAGAACTCCTCCAACCTGGATGAATTATAAAGAAATGATAATCAACGTTCATTTAACAAGTGTTTACTGTGAGCCTATTATATGTCAATAAACAAAAATGACAACTCTACCTCAATGGAACTTGGTCAAATCATCAGAGAATTATAATATTGTGTGCTATCATACAGGAAGTATAGAGTGCTGGGGGAGCAAACAGAAGGGGAGTGATAGGTGTGTAATATTTTTGCATGACCACTCTGTCCTAAACTGCAAGATAGGATAATGTAAATGACAAGAAAACTGTGAGAGAATGACCCTGAAGTAGAGTTTAGGTGAAGGAAGCGGTAGGAATAAGAAAACTGGAGGGAAAAAAGCTTAAAAATATTTTATTTTTCTGTTTTAACCAGCACCCCCTCCCAAAAAATTAAAAAGGAAAGTTGGAAAAGATACATATATGGTTTAGATGCTAAACTTTAGAGACAAGATTGTTTCTCTTATGCAAGGAGGAGTCAAGAAGGAGATAAATCATGGTTAGAAGCAATATTGGAAAGGGAAGTAGAAAAGCCAGTCCCTGAGAGTCACAGAAGAAAAAAGAATTAGAACTAGAATAGAGAAGTGTCCCTGGGGTTACCCTGTCAAGTGGCTCAAGCCCCTATAGCTCTTTACTCCAATCTCTATCTTATCTCCTATACCCAGCAGACCAAGCCCACACACATTTTACAAGAATTAAGTATGGCTTCTACCTGACATTACTAAAGGCAAAACCTTAAATAGATCCCTCTTAGAAGTTCCGATAGTGTTCTGTTCTCTGATCTAACATCTTAGTAATATTTGTTAAAATACCTATAAAAATAGCCCAGATTAAATGATAATATAGCAACATACTATAATCTTGGTAGAATATCACCTTCAAAGACCATGTTATAAAAGTGTATCATTGTTGGTTGCATGCTGACTCAAGGAGATAGTAGGAGAAAAATGAAAGAAATGGTTCTAAAAGCAGCTGTAATAAAGCTTTGAGGCTTATTAGAACAGTGTTCAGAATATGGCAGATACTTAATAAATATTTACTGAATGATTGAATCCCCAGTCATCTAAAAATCACACAAGCATACAAAAATAAAAAATGAAAAACAAAGTATAATGGGAAGAGAACTGCCTCAGGTTCAAAATTATAACTCTGCTACTTACTAGTTGAAGTCTTGAACAAATTGGGACTACTGCCTTTTTCAAAGGATTAAATGAGATATTAAATGTGATAGCACATGCAAATGCTCCTAGTATAAAAGGCATTCATTCAGGCTAACTAATCTTCAATTCACTAAATGACAATTAGATAACAGTAAACGGAAGACATGTATTTCTTTAGCTTGTGGGAAAGAAGATAAAAGTAGGTTGGAATTAGAAAAAGCATTCAGATATCAATAACCTATGAGCAAAGATTAACCTAAACCAACACAGGAGGAGATTAGATACTGTCATTTGCCTACACATACCAAAAATTTCTCGGCCATTACTTTTTATCCCAAACACAATGCTAGGTACTAGGGATAAAAAGATGTGTAAGACATATTACATAGTAAGCTTTTGGGATAGACAAATTTCATAGTTATTTGGAAAAAATAACTCTATATGAAATTTCTAAAAGGCATACAGCCAACAGTAATTGAGAGGTCAGCTGCTGATTATCTCCCTATAAGCTTTCAACATTGACATTACAATAGCAGTTTAAGTGAATTCCTTATATTCATGAAAGAGAAAGTTATTGATCACTAAAGACAAGGATTTGACTGTGTTCAGCCTCTGTGGCAAACTATATATCTAGAAATAAAGAAGGCTTATTATTGTAAGTATTGTACTACAAGAAAAGAGAAGGGACATACCTAGCTTCCTAAAGGTGTAACTCAGATAAAACAAAACAAACAAAAACAGTTCATTTTTGTTTTGTTTCAGAATGAAACAAGGAGATGTTTCTCAAGTAAAGAATAGAGCATATATTTAATGGTACATATTTCTCCAATACAGTGTCAAGATGCTATTACATATGATAGTAGTACCCTTAGTTCTAATAAAAGTCACCTGTCTACAGTGAAAAGAGAAATCATTACCTGATTTGTAGGCATTTTCGGCACATTCACTTTCCACATCTGGGCTTCCCTGGAGATTGCCTTTTCCAACAGGAAAGACAATCTCTGGTTTTCCAATGGCCCTGGAAACTTCATGATATCCTTTGGATCTGCCTGCCGCCCAGCTTGATGTAGCTACCTATAAAATCAAATATAAAACAATGCTCTATATTTAATTATATATATAGTAACTGTAGCATAATATAAATATGTTGGTACTTATGAAGCAATTCATAAAACAAAATAAAAATGTTATGAGCCAATATAGGATTTTACAGCTCTTTAAGATATCATACATTAAAATATTACCATAATCATCACTTATCTAAAACATTCTCACTTTAAATCTGAAATTCAGTTGTAAAGAGAATAAAAACATGACCATATAATTGACAGAACCTTAGGACTTTGATCAAAACATATTATCACTGTGTCAAAAAATTTTAAGTCACAGGCTTTTTAGACTAGGAATTCTTAGAATATTTGTCCCAAATATTTCTCTTAAAAATCTACACAGATAAGGGCTAAACCCTCTTTTCATTAAAAGTTACATCGGGCTTCCCTGGTGACGCAGTGGTTGAGAGTCTGCCTGCCGATGCTGGGGACACGGGTTCGTGCCCCTGTCCGGGAGGATCCCACATGCCGCGGAGCGGCTGGGCCCGTGAGCCATGGCCGCTGGGCCTGCGCGTCCGGAGCTTGTGCTCCGCAACGGGAGAAGCCACAACAGTGAGAGGTCCGCATACCACAAAAAAAAAAAAAAAAATGACATCAATTACATTAAATCCCACCCATTTCTACTGAATCAGTATTAGACTATCCCCCCCTTTAAGTATGAAACCATCTTGAATTGTGCTCCCACTACAATGTCCACTAGCTACACGTGTAGCCATTAAAATTAGAATTGAATAAAATTAAAAAATAATTCCTCAGTCACACCAGCCCCATTTCAAGTGCTCAGCTGTCACATGTGGCCAGTGGATACTGCACTGGACAGTGCAGGAAAGGAACATTTCTATCAATGCAGTAAGTTCTACTGGACGATGTTGATCTAGAAAGCTCAACAGTAGAGTAACTGGCAATCTAAAATGAGCAGCAAGTCTAAAGAGCAACACAGTACAAGGCATCTCAGAGTCCGAGAGACGTTTCTATGTTTCTTAAAAAAAAAAGGAAACTACAGAGGTTTGACTGTGTATGGAAAATTGGATTGAGAAGCTGCTGAAGAATGTGAAAAGACTTAACTAGATTGATGAAGCTAAGCAACTGATAAGGTTATTAAATTCAGAGAAAGAGATTATGCAAGACAATAAACATAATAATATACCACAATATTTACACAGCAATAATAATAAAATACTGGATAGAGATTTCAACACAAACGCTGTAATAAAACTACACTGGCAGGATGAGGGGTGTTGGGAGAAGGCAGAATGAGAGCCTCATCTTTATACTTCAAAGGAAAACCATAAATAATATCTAAAACTTAAATATCGAAAAAACAGCAATAGGTAAGTTACTTGAAAATATGATCTTAAATAACAAGAGAAATAGGTAAGAGCTGAGAGTGATTAACCTCTGGGGAATGAGAAAAGGGTGGAGAAGCCAAGCAGCAGAGGAATGTGGTTTTTCATTATAGACCTCATATAACTATTCCCGTTTTTCAACTCTGGACCTGTATTACGTATATGCTTCAAATTCCAGGGATTCTTTTTAAAAAAATTCAATGTCTAGAATTAACATGTGAAAAGTTCCTAATTTTTGATAAAAATTTAAAATTTGAAAAAACAAAAAATACAAACCTAATCTTCAATTTCCATGTTCCCTCTGCCCCAACTTCAGCTACTATCCTCTTTCCTATTTATCACCCACATACTTCACTTACTATTCAACCTATTGCAAACTGGTTAACTGGATTGTAATTTTTTTTCTTTTTGCTTCTTTAAACTCCTGGGTTTTTGCAATTTTTCTATATCAAGCATGAAGTGCTTTTCATACTAAGCAGAATAAAGTTAAATAACTTAGAAAGTGGAAAATAATAACTATCCGGAAAGGTCCAACTCAAAGGTAATTTCTTCCAAGAACTATCTCCCCTAATAAATTATAAATTCCCTTGCAGTCATATCTACGAATATCATGTTTTTATTACTCACAGTGCCCATCCCACGGTATCCTGATGAAACAGAGACACAACCAAAGGCTCATTTCAACCCTCGGGGCCAAAAACAAAAAACCATAACCAAAACAAACAAACCCAAGTCTAATCTCTTTCACAGGTGAATTCTTCAATGTTTAAAGGCTGCTATCATGCTCACCAGTTCATCCACTGCATTGCTGAAAAACCATTCAAGAGTTTCTCACATGACATGGTTTTTGCTCTTCTAAATTAGCACGTTTAATTATTAATGCAGTCTAAAGATCATTAGCTATTTTTTTAAAGGCTACACCACATTATCAATTCAGATAAAATTAATGCTCAACTAAAACTCTTAAGGCTTTCTAAGGTAACTCTTAGGTGAACTTCCCCTCCACCCCCACCTTGTATGGGTTTTTGGTGCCTTTGGGCGGCGGGAGGGGCGTTACATCCTTGTTCAGGACGTTAAATGCGTTTTTTCCTTTAAAAAAAGTCATCTTGTTAAGTTCTATCTACTGTTACATTCTACTTAGATGTTCTGAGATTCCAATTTTGTTGCACTGGTACTTTTCTCAAATTCTCCACAATTAGATAAACAGAGTCACTATAACTTCATCGAATGCAAACGTAAATATCAACCTCAGAAACAGAGTATAAACTAGATGTTCACCTGTCTAGACGTATTTAGAAGAAACACCTATATTGGATGGAGACTGAACTTCATAGGTTCTAAGAACTTCTAAACCTAATTTTGGTCTGTAATTGATTAACTCCTGTCAAAACTTACTTATTTCATTCCTTTAGCTACTCTCAACAGGGTGGTTCACCAGGATCTGCCAGCCTTCTCAGCATACCCCAATGGGTGGCTGCCCCTAGTAATTACTCTTCCTTTACAACGATTCCTTTGAAGATTACTTTTAGGGTAGGATGGGTGGGGGACCTGACAGGAACATATAGGATAGAGTCATGTAAAGAAGTATAAGATCAGGTTCAAGGGATTCTTGTTCTTCAATCTTCTATAATTAAGGCCCTTAATAAGACTTTCAAATATTTAGATGATACAACAACTTTTTTAAAACAAAGGAATCTGCGTCAAAGAAGAAATCATAAGGGAAATTAGAAAATACTTTGAGATGAATAAAAAAGATCAAACATACTAAAACTTACAGGAAACAATGAAATACTTGTAAATGCCTATATTAAAAAAGATCTCATAGGTATAACTGAATCACTTTGCTATATACCTGAAACAATACTGTAAATCAACTATACTTCAATAAACAAGAAAAAAAAAAGATCACAAGTTAACACTCTAACCTTCCACTTTAAGACACTGGAAGAAACAGACCAAACTATACCTAAAGCAAGTCAGAAGAAAGAAAATAATAAATATCAGAGTGGAAATTAAGGAAGTAGAGAACAGAAAAATAGAGAAAAATCAATGAAACCAAAAAAGTTGGTTCTTTGAAAAGATCAACAAAATTGGCAAACCATTAGCTACACTGACCAAGAAAAAAGAGATCAAGTACTAACATCAGGAATAAAGAAGGGACATTACTACCTATGTTACAGAAATAAAAAGGATCATAAAGAAATTATTATTAACAATTGTATGCAAATAAATTGGACAACTTAGATGAAAAAGACAAACACCTAGAAACAAACTATCAAAACTGACAACAGAAAAAGCTGAATAGTCATATACCAAGTACTAAAGAGACTGAATTAGTAAAGAAACTAGTGTCAAAGAAAAGCCCGTGCCCCAGTGTCTTTGCTGGTGAATTCTACCAAACGTTTACAGAAAAACTAATACAAATTCTTCACAAATTCTTCCAAAAACTAGAGGAGGAGGCCTTCTCATTTTATGAAGCCAGTTATTATCCTGCTACCAAAACCAAAGACAACAGCACGAAAACTACAGACCAGTATCTCTTAAATACAGATGCAGAATTCCTCAACAAAATACTAGCAATCTGTATCTGAAAACATAAAAAAGGGATTATACACCATAACCAAGTGGGATTTAGCCCAGGAAGGCAAAGTTGGTTTAACATTCATAAATCAGTGTAACACACTGTATCAACAGAAGAAAAGAAAGCAATCATTCTTTGCTCACAATAGGGAAATGTAACAAAGGAAAAAAAAAAAGAAGAGTTCAAATTTCCTTAAACTTTAAAAAATGAGGTATAAATAATACAAGTGAGAAACAAAAAGGATGGAGGACACCTGTGGGGATGTTCCAGATTTTCCAAGCTACAGAAAAATAAAAGTGCAGTACCTTACCCTAGACTGGATCCTGTACTGCAGAGAAAAATGCTATAAAGGTCATTTTGGGGTCAACTGACATAATGAGAATTTGGACAGATTTGACAAAAGTAAATTATCAATTTAAAATTTACTGAAGTTGGTAACTTTACTGTGACTCTGTAAAAGAATATCCCTATTCTCAGGAAATACACACTGAAAAATTTAGGTGTAAAGGGCCATAATGAATGCTGTAGAGAGAGGGGGTGGAAGATGAGGGGAGGGAAGACACGATAAAACAAATGGAGTAAAAGGCTGAAAATAAGTGAATCCAGGTAGTTTCATTTTGAAATTATTTACAAGTTAACAACACAGAAAAAGCAAAACAAAACAGAAACCATAATTTATGAGAAACTGTTCTACATTCCTTTTTTAAAATATGATATGATACAGTGGAGAAAGCGCTGGCTTGAATTCTACTTCTTTTACTAACAATCCACAAGGCTGCTTTCTAATGTTTTAAAACAGATTATTTGAGCTAGATGAAAAATGAATCCTGCTAAGAAATAAAACACAAACATTAAAAATATAAACTTCCTGTTTTAAATAACAGAACTTTATAGTTTTATGTTGTTATTTTATGCCCATTAATGGTCACATTCAGAATTCTGAACACTCAGAAAAGTCTCTAGGAACTAAAAAACAAAAAGACTGTATTTTGGTTGGCATATTCCATAAACTTTGACCTTGAGCGTTTCACATTTCTCCTCCCATTCTTTCAATTGCTGCTTCTGCTTCTTCCTCTATGTTTATCAAATACCTTAATGTCTGAGTGAATAGTTTATAAAACACTTATTGTACAGCATTAACTATGTTACAAATCAGCATACAGGGCCTCTTGCTCTTCTGAGGAAAAGTGCTGCACAGTGCTGGGTATACAACAGAAACAACTTCATTAACATGGAATTACTGTATTTATTATGTTCAAAACACCAACTCCATTAATAATTTTGTACTGGTGCTGACTTCCGGATCTTAGTTCCTCTTATAAGAAGAGGGATTTATTAATGTGACCATACAAAAACCTCATGTTCTATTATTATCTCCTTGACTTTACGCCCTTAACCTAATAATGAACTACAGGTACTTATAATTCCAAAACACTCTGCTTTATCCCAATCTCCATGACTCTCCACATACTGTTCTTTCAACTTGAAATGTCCTTCTCTAGCTTGCACTCTCCTTCCTACAGAGTTGTCATTTGCATCATATGTACTTGAACATAATTCTACTTTTGCATTTAATCGCTCCGTGAGAGCTGACTACTTGTAGGCTGGTCTCTCCTACTAACCATGAGTTCCTTGATGGCAAACACTCTCCAGAGTTTAGCACTGTGCCAAATAAATAATAAGAGCTTACACCTGTTAAGTGCTTAACAACTAAAAACAATGAGTGCTTACTACTTGGCCAGGTATTGTTCAAAGTACTATGCCATATTAACTCCTCGAACACAAAGGAGGGTATAATTATTAAGTCTGTATTATTATTAAGCCCCCTTCAAAGATGAAGAAACATGGACAGAAAAATGAATACTTTTCATTTTTAAAGTAGTATACAATCAGAATAGAACATGTACACACACTTTAAGCTTCCAATCTTGACCAAGAAACATTTTAGAGTTCCATTCTAAACTACTGATACTAGGACGTCACATTGCCACGTAAACTCACTTATCTCAGTTTAACCGCAAACCATCCCGGTGCACCTTCCCGACACACGCTGATTCTACTAGTCTGCTCTTCATCAGTATTGAGAAACTTCTTCTAGTCCAAAGTTTAGAATCTCTGATGCGTATGGTCCCAGACTAGCAAATCTGAATCCTGTCCCTTCTTTCTTAATCTATTTGTCCGTTCCCTTCTATTTCCTCTGCCTTTAATCTGTTCCGGGACAGAGACTGTATAGCACAGACTGCCTGGCCTGGAATTCTGGCCACCGGGTTCTAGCTGCCTTCTAGTGGGAAAATTAATCTTACGGAGCCTCAGTTTCACTCATCCGTAAAATGCTCCTGAACTACCTGCCCCGTGAAGATTCAATAAGTCGCAAACCACTTATAACGATGCCTCTCCGATAATAAGCCTCAACAAGTGTTATTATTAACATCCTAAAGCCACACTGCTGCTGCTCAAACGTTGAGTGTCTCCCGCTGACAGAATAAAAGCTAAATATTTTAGCCTAACAAAGATCTCCAGTCTGATTCCATCCTACCTCCGGAGCGATACCTTCCACTATTTTGCCATCTAATTCTCAACTCCTAACAAAACGATCTGCAGTGGAACTTCTAGCTCGGCAGAGGGGCTTCTGCCCTCTTTTCAAATTTCCGGTATTATCTGCCCTACAGGGTGCAATTCAAAGCTCACCTCCTCTCTAGATTCCCCCGACTCACCCCAACCCCGGGAAACGTGCCCCTCCCCCGAGCTCCCGCAGCGGCTCACCCCATTCATCCGTCCTCCTCCCCCACCCCGCCCGCTCAGCAATGTGAATGATGTTCCCGCGGGTCCCGCGGAGGCGTCGAGATCTAGGGGCGGGGGTGTGTCCCCTTCTTTGTGTACCGCACAGGCTCGCGGGCCCTAGAACGCGCACTAGGAGGCAGCTTGCTGTTGCTGCAAGAAAGTTAGTCGCCGACGGGAAAATTGGCCCGAAAGGGAACCCAGCGGCGCCGTTTCCAAACTGGGCAGGTGCCTGAGTTGTAGGCGCGAGGAGACAAGAGGGGCGTCCAGGAGGTTTCCCGAAGGGGACGGCGGGGGCGGGGCTCAGCCGAGGGGCGCGCGCCGGCGGCGCGGGGCTGCAGGGGGCTCGCGCGCGGGTCGCGGGGACGCGTGGAGCCCCCCCGTCCCCACCCGCTCACCTTCTCCTCCTCTTCCTCCTCCTCCTCCTCCTCCCCGGCAGAGCTGTAGGCCTCACAGTGGTGACGAGGGGTCATCCGGCGGCCCGTTACCACCTCATTTTCTTCAGCGCGCGGCGACGGGGCGCGCGGGACGAGGACTGGGCCGACTGAGGAGGGAGAAGAAGGGGAACCGGGACGGAGAGCGCGGGCGCTGGCGCTCGAGCGGGACGCACGGCTGCGGCCTGTGGGTCGGTCAGCGAATTAGTTCCATGACGCCCCCGGACCTGAGGCCGCCGCCGGTCCCGCTCCTCCAACCGCCGCCGCTTGTGCCCGGGTGGGGAGGGGGTTCCCTCTCGCCATAGGGCGGCGGGGACCGGGGAGAGGCGGGGGGTGAGACCGGCTCTGCCCCTGCCCGGGGGAAGCGCCTCCGAGGGGAAATGGTGAAAGGGGGGAAAGGGGGAAAAGGAAAAAAAAAGGAAGGGGAAAGGGGGGGAAAAAATAAGAAAAAACGAGACAGAGGCGCTGCCGCGTCCGCTCGCGGGGAAGGCTGGGGAGGGAGGGGAAAGAAGAAAAAGTGCCGGTTTCGTCAGCTCCGCCCTCGCGGACCGATTCCTAGACGCGCTCACTCCTTGTAAACAACACTGAACTGGCTCTGGACCTTCTCCCGTTTTCCTCCCCGCCGCCTTCTCCGTCCAGCGAATGTACAGAGAAGTCCGGCAAAAAGCTGGGCTGTTGGAAACGGGCTGGGAAAATCTCTGGCATTGGGGTGGGAGGAGGGCTAAGAGAAGCTAAATGTGCATGGACTCGTTTTCCTTGGAGGAGAGGAAGGGTTCCTCTTCGACTGCACGGTGACGTAAGCGCCTCCTCAGCTCGCTGGAAGAGGCGTGCGGTGGCCGGAGAGTGCGCTGCGCATGCGCCCCAGGGAAGAAAGAAGCAGCTGAGCGCTTCGCTTGGGGGTGGGGTCTTATAGGGATGCTCCTCTGACCGAACCGAGCGTTACGTGGTTTTATCCAGTCTGTCTTTGTCTCTGGGGCTTGGAAAAGGATTTGTTAGAAAGGGCCGCGATCTGTTGTGTAAAGATCTTGCGTTCTTTGTTGACCTCGCAAAAAGTTCTGTGTTCTCTTCTTACCATTGACGTGTAGATAGAATTGCGCGTTTTTTCGCTGTCACGTCGTGGGTGGAGGGAGATTTTTAAAGCGCATTAGAAATCGGGAAATTGCAGGGAGCATAGTCTCAGGCCCTTCTAAAACAGTAAATTATATTACTGGCAGCAGGGAACCTGCTTTGTAACGCGCCAAGGAAATTCTATCCACTTAACCAACACATCTGAGTATTTCCGAGTAGGTTTTATTACCAGGTCTTTAATGAGTGAGTGGTGACATATAAATGTGTTTTATTTGGGGTTCCTTTACGGACCTATGGTAAATTTTGCTCATCTTTTAATCGTTTTAGTTATAAAAAGAAGAGTAGAATTACAGAAAGTTTTGAAAGAGAAGAAAACCCTCAAACTCAACCATTTACAGAAGTAGTTGATTTGTATTTCCATTTGTCTTTTATATGCCTATTTTAAGTCACTTAAATTTGTTTTAAGCTTATTCAGCGAGCCAGGGGCTAATAAGCTCTAGCAAGCTGGAATTAACCAGGACAAATAGCTTCTACCTTCATGGAGTTTACAATCCAAACACTGAGCTAATTATCACTATCTAAAATCACCCAGTACGTTGATTTGCTTGCTCGTACACTGTATTCTCTCCTTAGAATATAAGGTCTAGGATGGCAGGGATCTTGCATGTTTTATTTCACCCTGTATTCCTGCATGTAAGAGGCTCTCAATATTTTATTACTGACTGAATAAACAATTACCAGTATCAAAAGTATTAAGATGGAAAATTGCAGGCTGCTATGGAAACACTTAATCCTAGCCTAGTCAGGGATATCAGAGGAGGTTTCTGTGAGGAAGAGACATTTAAGGTGAGACTTGAAACCACTTGGGCATAGAATTGGGGAAAGAGTGTTACAGGCAGAGGAAACAAGTGCAAAGACTCGAGCTGAGACATTCTAAAAATCTCAGAAAGGTAGTGTGGCTGGTCCTCAGAGAATTGAAGGCTGGGGCAGGGGGCAGGTACCTATGACAGAACAGGGAAGGGAAGCCCAGGAAGGATTTTAGGTGGATCGTATTTTGCTTTTTTCACCTCATGTAGTCTTTCTTACGTGGGCTTTATTGCTACATGGTCTTCCTTCTATAACACATTGGCAACATTGTTTTGCACAATACCATTCACTGCAGGACCATGAAATTGCTTCTGATTTTCACTACTTTAAGAATAATACCAATTCCATTCCCAGATATGTAGTCAAGAGAAATGTAAACCTGTCCACACAGAGACTTGTACATGACTGTTCATAACAGCATTATTCATAATGGCCAAAAAGGTGAAACAACACGAGTGTAAGTCAAATGTGGTATATCTATAATATGGAATGTTATTTGGCCATAATAAGGAGGTACTGAAATATGGTGTAACATGAATGACCCATGAAAACAATGTGCAGTCCTTTGTGGCTGGCTTCTTTCACTTAGCATAATGATTCCATTTGTATGAAATGTCCAGAATAGGCAAATCTATCGATAGAAAATAGATTAGTGGTTGCTTGAGACTGAGGATGGGGATGGGATTGGGAAATGATAGGTAAAAGTTTTGGCATTCCTTTTTGATGAAACTATTTTACAATTGATTTTGGTGATGGTTGCAAACTAAATATACTAAAAACTATTGAATGGTACACATTAAATAGGTGAATTGTCTGAGAGGTCAATACAGCTGTTACCAAAAAAAAAAAAAAAAAGGGAGAAGGGGAAAAAACCAAAAAGAATACAATTAACATCTTCATGTGTAACCTTTTCTGGGTTATTCCTGGGTCCAACGGTATTTATACTTTTATGGCTTTTGATGAATACCCATTTGCCAAATTGCTTGGCAGAAGAGTTGTATCAATGAAAATGTAACCTGAGTATTTAAGAGTTCTCACTGTGGCCTCTCCCGTTGCGGAGCACAGGCTCCGGACGCGCAGGCTAAGCGGCCATGGCTCACGGGCCCAGCCGCTCCGCGACATGTGGGATCTTCGCAAACCGGGGCACAAACCCGCCTGCATCGGCAGGCAGACTCTCAACCACTGCGCCACCAGGGAAGCCCTTGAAACTTAGTTTTAACAAAACTGCCTTACTGCCTGTGAGATTACCAGTGACAACTTAATCTAGAATACTGTAAATATAATTACAAGTAATTAATTGGTGGGTAAGGAACTTGTTCCAGTTGTCCTAACAAAATATATGGACATTCTTTTTCTTTACTATTCATTCAAAGACCTTACTTTTAATCAACATCTCTTTTTTGTTAATAACTGTAGTAGTTTTTTAAAAAATTAAGTGTAGTTGTAACAAATGGAAAGACTGAAATTCCCTGAGAAAATAAATAAGGCATATAAAGAAAACATTAAAATCCTTGTATTGGTAAGGAATTCATATTTTTTCATTTTTAAAATATTTTTAGGAATATTTTGTCACAAATAGTAAAAATTTTACTAAAATTAAAAAATTAACATTTAATAATAATATTTAATTAATAAAATAGCAATTGATTATTTACTAATAAAATAATATTTATTTAATTAATAAAACTACCACCTTTCTATGTGGTATTTAAGAATAATAATAACTAAAATATATTGATTACTCACTGTGTACCAGGCATTGCACCAAGCACTTCTATTGCATTCTCTTCTGTTTATTCCTGCAGCTCTCCTCTACTGTAGGTATTTTTGTTATCCTCATTTTTCAGAAGATAAAGAGGTAAAGTAAAAATAAACAACCGAAAGAGGTAAAGTAAATCCTCAAGACTGGTCACACAGCTTGGAGAGGCAGAGCCAGGATTCAAACCCAGTTTGCCTGACTCCAGAGCCTGATGTGCTTTTAGTCACTACCCTTTACTGCCTCACCCTGTGGGTATTACTGGCTTGCGTGGAAGTCTTCGAACAAAAATACCCTATGGTTATTTTTGGCTTGCCTTTAATCTTAGAACAAATATTAAATAAAAGTTTTTAGTGACTAGTTAATATTTGTGTTACTAGAGAGTTGATTTTTGCTTGAAAACAGGTTATTAAAATTTTCTTACACTTGTTTTATTTCATGACTAGAACATTGAATCTTGAAATATAAACATGTCCTGCTTCAAATGCAGACTAAGGAGGAAGCTGAGGGCTTCCTTGGTGGCGCAGTAGTTGACAGTCCGCCTGCCGCTGCAGGGGACACGGGTTCGTGCCCCAGTCTGGGAAGATCCCACAAGCCGCGGAGCGGCTGGGCCCATGAGCCATGGCCGCTGAGCCTGCGCGTCCGGAGCACACGGGAGAGGCCACAACAGTGAGAGGCCCGCGTACCGCAAAAAAAAAAAGAAAGAAGAAAAAAGGAGGAAGCTGAGAAACAGTGTGCTCTCAGAATAAAAGCTCTGTTCTGAAATGCAATATAATGTAAAGTGAGACCCCCTCCAGAAGTCTAGGGCAACTGAAGGGAATCAAGTTGATGAACAAAGTGGTTTGCTATCTGTAATCTTTCAAGAAAAATAATTAGAAATGGACTGCTTACCTTTTTATGAGTATAGAAGATAAGGTTATATTTAATCTCTAATGACAAAAATTTCTAGTCTCCTTGTCTTAAATGAAATTTTAGGGTAATGTTCCCAGCAGACAATCTATGAAGGTACTATCCTGTCGGAGAAATACTAAGGCCTACAGGAACAAAGAAAGTGATTCATTGTCATTATAATCACTTACTTTTAGCATTTATGTACACTTAAGGATCCTTTTTACAGCTCCCGAAATACTTGTTTTCTTTAATCTCTACAGAGACACAAACTGAGAGGAGTAAGCCTGTCAAATAGACATTAAGAGAAAAGGAGTCCACATTCACCAAATAATATAAAGACCACCTACTTACTATTTTTTTTGTTGAAGGGTAGTTGATTTACAATGTTGTATTAGTTTCAGGTGCACAGCAAAGTGATTCAGTTATATATAGATATCTATTCTTTTTCAGATTCTTTTCCATTATATGTTATTACAAGATATTGAATATAGTTCCCTGTGCTATACAGTAGGTCCTTGTTTATTTTATACCTCCTACTTACTATTAAGTGGGGAGAAGTGCTCAAAGAAAAGTCAAAAATTCTAAAATAGGAAGCCGCAGCTGCTTTCCAGATTTTGACCAACTCTGATAGAAACTGGCTTTAGATTTCTCATACTTGGGTGCTTATTTAGAAAGACTTCACTGGGAGGGATCATTGGTTGCATGCTTTATTAAAAGTAGCCCCAGACGTCAAATAGAGGCCACTGTTTGAAATTTGTAAATCAAAAAGGAACATTCTTTCCTTCCTCTTGGGAGGAAAATACATAATTAAAATAACACCATTTTACTCTCACAAACTGTTTTGAATGCTCCGCTACCAAATTTAGTAAATTTGGAAAAAAATATTTTTGTATATCTTACATAATCAAACT